TGTAAACCTAAAAATGCTGTCAAATTATATACACCCAAGGTAATTATGTCAAATAATACCCAATGTGCTATGTATGAAAATTGTACAACCAAATGTCTGAGGATAAAATGGTCGGAAGGGATGTCCTGCCATATAAAACAAAAAATTGTGTGTAACAATTGCCATATCTCCCTGCCAATAGGATGGTTTTATACCTGTGAAGGAATAACTTTCAATTATATCCCAGCCAATTTAACCAAGACCCATTGCTGCTTGAGTCATCTAGCTGTGGTTCTACCAGATAGAACTGATTTGATTATGCCAAACAGAACTAAACGTTGGTCACCCTATACTGCACCAGGATGTGATGATGATGTAGGTCTGTTGACAGATACTGAAGTAATAACTACGATAGCATCTTTTGTTGCCTTGCCTTCTATAGGAGTCCATGCTGAGAAGGCAGTACGGAAATTAGCATGCAAGGTGGTCAAAGGGTTAAATGCTACCTCATCAGCCTTGGCATTAATTAACCAGGAGTTACAAGAACAGAGATAGGCAATCTTAGATAATAGGGCAGTGATAGACTATTTGTTGCTCTTCCACCACCAAGGTTGTGAGAAAATAAGAAATGTGTGTTGTTTCAATCTTACTGACAATAGTCCAAAAATCAAAGAAAAGGTAAAACAATTGGAAGACCTGGCTCAAAGGGTACATTATGAAGATGGCTGGGACTTGTTCCAACGGCTAACTAAATGGTTGCCCAACCTACAACGGTTAAAACAACTTTTTCTCATCGTTATAGTTGTGTTTATATGCTTACTATTGTCATGCTGTTGTATACAATGGATGCCTACGTTTATACGTAAGATTACTTAAGTTGTAAAATCAGTGGGGAATGTGGGACTGCATAACTCTGTAATCATAAAACTCCCCTAGCCCCAACTGTGATTGAATGTGAGTAAATAGATAAAGATGCTTGTTAGCTCCAGGACACTAGATAAGATCTGTATCATCCATAAGGTCCCAAAGTAAATTACTCAACTCTTTGTTCGAAAACTGATGGACACCGCTAACTATAGAACAATCTACAAACATCTGCTGACCATCAGTACATGTCAGCTGACCACTAACCTTTGTTCCTCTTCTGTAAATTTCACCTGTTAACTTCCCCTGCAACCCCCTATAAAAAAGCCTCGGACTCTGGGCTAGTTGCCTCTAAGCTACTTTGCTTTGGGAGTGCCATCTGGCCAGACTAAGGTCTGTTTTACTTTCCAACTTGTCCGGTGTGTTCCTTCCCGGGTGTTCTTCGCTGCAGTCAGCTCCTTGGAGCATTTGGTAAGGCCCTCAGTCTTACATTTTGGAGGCACCGCTGGGATCCCCGGGTGTGCTTCACTGCAGTCAGCTCCTCGGAGTGTTTGGTAAGACCCTTGGTCTTACACACAAAGAATTCAACTAGTCAATAAATATATAAAAGAAACTGAACATATGTGTAACTTCAGTAGCCAAGAAAACATAAGTCAAAGCAAGCTGATCACCCATCAGGCTGGCCAAAGTAAATATCAATACCTCACGTAAGAAGGTCAACTTACACCACTGGTGAGAATATAAATTGGTACAGCATCCTGGAGGACAGTTTGGCACAATCAACCCCAATCCAAGATAGCATGTACCTTCTGCAGCTTCCAAGTGTCTTCTCTGGTAGGTGGCTCCTCCTGCACTGTCCTCTGTCCCACGGCTGTGGAAAGCAATGGCCCCAGGCCAGGCTTTGATTGGCCCATATCCATCCTCACAACCCCACTTCCTGTCACTCCTTTAGCCCAGGAAAGACCCAGAGGTCCAGCCTGCCAGTGTAGCCACTCCCCTGCCACCCATCACCTCAGGGATCAGCAGCATCCACATGGTCCTGTAAGAGCAAAGCCATATGTAAAACTTCCCAGCTCCTCCTGTGGAAGTGAGTGAGGACACCTATGGCTCCCGAGAGTCTTTGCTCCCAGAGTTTACATTACCTAAACACGTTTTGTTTCTAAAACTAATTCCACATCTAATAATCATAACCATATATTTATGTCAACACTCATGATTTCTCATTTACTAAACGACAGGGGAAATTCTTCAAACTTTTTTTCTGACAAGGCCTTGCTATGTAGTTCAGGCCAGGCCAGGGCAGGCTGAAACTTGTTATATAGTCCAGGCTGGCCTTAGACTCCTGATCCTCCTGCCTCAGCCTCAGACTCTCAAGTGCTGGCATTATAGGTATGTGCCACCATGCATGGCTCTTCAAATGTTTTAAGCCCATTGCTTTGTCTGTAAAATGTGAATGACATTCCTACTTTCATAGTTATTGCTATTATCACATAAATATCACCATACTAGACAACATGGTATAGAAATAGGTAAATAAGGTGTGGTAACTTGTTTTTATTAGACACTAAAGCTTTAGTGAGGCAGTGACATTCTATTCTCCACCCTAATGTAGGGACAGAAAACATGCTGGATTGTATGTTTCCATTTCCCTGGTCCTTTTTTATGGTGACTCATGTTAACAGACAAAACATTTTCCAAAACTTTACAGGAACATTTCTCATTTTTTTAGGAAATTACCCAGAGTGCCAAGGTAAAGAATAAAAAGTATTAAAGCTATACTATGGGGGAAATAATTTTTTACTGAAAACAGGTAAATGTTATATTTCTGGATGGGCTTTGTGTAATACACTGGGCATCAGATAGCCACAAACACCTAGCAACACAAAGCTCATAGTCTCTGGGCTGATGTGGAGACCTGTGGTGAGGCCCCTCAGGAGGGCCTGCTGGGAAACATGCTTCGTGCTAATTAGATTTTCAAGTCATTTCATGTTTGAAGCCATCAAGAGGAAAAAAAAGACCCTTTAAAAAGCAGTACAAGAAGACAACTTTTTATACAGGTAGAAGAGAGTTCAGGGCTCCTTTCTAATGTAAACACACTTAGCCCAAAACAATCAAGAACGATCCCTTTAGTCCACATCGAGCCAGGCGTGCCTGGTGGTTTCTGGATTCCTTGCCAGAGGTTCAAACACAAGTCAACCACATTCTTCAGCCTCATCTCATCTGTAAAGGAGACTTATATCATAGCACAACTAAAATAAAAGAGTCAAAGTTGAGAGTCATGTATGAAAACATTCCTTCTGTGTTCCCACTTCAACTGGAAGTCAGACATTCCCACCAAGAGGTTCTCCAGCAGGAGGATCAGCCTCTAAGCCCACGTCTGTCCCAGCTTTTGTCAGGCAGTCTTTGCAAGATGTTGTTTTTATCATCATGCTCCTTCTGTCATGGAAAATTACCTTATCTCCCACCCCTAAAGCCAAAGTTTCAAAATAAAAGAGCAGATCATTTAAAATTTATTTATTAGAGACCATACAGTGGTACATGTTATTTATAGGCTCTTCATTAGATAAATTAAATTAAACTCATCTATGGAACTAAGACATTTATTAATTTTCAAACATTCATACACACAGCAAGCCCACTGACCCCCCCCTACTAGTACCAATACACATTTTATATTAGTAGGTGAATAAATCCCACCCTTATAAAAAGACTAAATAACCACAAACTCCTTTTAAAAAGAGATTATTTTGATTCAGTGCTTATAGCTCCAAATTGCAAAATCTTTCCCTAGTCTTTCAGCCAAGGGTCTGACCAGATATGATCCTTAAGTGCCAACATGGACTTAAGGGATGATTCTTAGTCCCTTAATTCGAAAGTGCACAAGATGCTTAAATAGACTAAGATACTAAAAGCCAGGTAGAAATTAGAAGGCAACTGATCCTACACTCAGATATCAAGCTAATATCTTCCTCCTGATTTTTCACATAAAAACATAACTGAAATAAGCTGGGGGTGCCACTTGGTTCTACATATTGTCACTTTCCATGCCACAGAGCCTGTTGGGAATACTTTTCAAAGTGAAAATAAATTTTTTTTGGTACCGGGGATTGAATTCAGGACCTTGCTCTTGTGAGGCAGGCGCGGTGCCACTGAGCTAAATCCCTGGCCCTATAAAATGATATTTAAATAGGAAGCTTATTAAAACCAATACTAGTCCCCCCCACCCCAGCATACTAGCTGTGGTAAGCTAGTGAAATACCTTGTCAGAGGTTGAAGACAGAGCTTTGAAACCAAAACCAAATTTAACTGAATCACTTTCTATAGACTTGTACATTGAAACCCTTTATTTTGCCTCCTCTGGAAGGTCTTGTTTTTTTGAGGCCCAAGTATCTAATGTCAGAATTTCAATATCAAGCTCCTCAGGATAACAAAGAAGAATTCTAATTAAATCATTGGGCTAAGGCCTACTCAATAACTTTTGGAAAAAACACCACAATATAATTGGCTAAGGCCAAAAACCCTGTACAAATTCTGGTCCCCATTACAACTGTTCTCTAAACATGATAAAAGCAGAGCATGACTGGAACCCCAGAAACCAGGAACCTGAGGCCCAAACTCATCTAACATCATTCTACAAAGCTGTAGACCTGCGCACCAGAAGGTGTGTAAGAAATGTGGATAAATGACTTTGCACTTTGGTGAGAAGCTTTGGGGAAAGCCTAGGTGTCTGAGGTAACGGGGAAACTGAAACTTCTCTGGGTTCTATTACTACCCTCCAACTACCATGGACAGAGTGGAGTCCGGTTAATAGAGGTTCCCTCCAGAAACCTCTTCCACCTGGTTCTTCAACAGCAGCTGACCCAGTGTGGCTGCCCACTTTCCAGCTCATTTTGTACATACACTGCTTTTTCTGGTACTGGGGATCAAACTCAGGATCTTGAGCATGCAAGGCAGGCACAGTGCCACTGAGCTAAATCCCCGGCCCGTACACTGCTTTTTCTAATGAGTAGCCCCTCACTCAGCTCCAAGGCACACCTTTAACATTTCTCCACCCCTGCTCCAATTGTGCTCCCTTACAAAGAACCCTGGCACCAGACTCTCCTCACACAGAGAATAGTGAGGCCAGAGCTGTGCTGTCAGAAGACGTCATGGTTTCTCCTCGATTCCCGTCACACATGGACTGAACATCAACAGTCATCGTGACCACAGACCCACACCTCCTGTGGACAGCAGTTACACAGCACCTCAGTGCCAGGAAACAGGAATTTCAGGTGTGCCTTTATAGTTAAGGGAAACATTTTTTCTTACAGATCCTAGCTTTCTCATTTTCTTTAACAGTAAGCTTTTATACAAATAGCACACAAAGTTCAATGCATGAATAACATGACCTTTTATAATATTTCTTTTTTACTCACTTTTAATCTTGGCTAACTTTAACAATCTACTAACAGTAAATAAACATTCATGTAACAAGACCCATATCACTATTCTTTATTAGATACATCTTGAAACAGCATCAACAGACTGAAGAGGGGAGGAGGGGCACTCCTTCAGTCCTCCTGTGAAATGGCTGCAAGTCTTTGTCTTTCTTTCCTTTTCTTTCTTTCCTTTCTGTCCTCCTTTCTCAGAAAAAGCAGGCAATTCAGAAGGAAAGAAAAGCATGCATCTCTCCTCCCAGGATATCAGCACTCCTGTCACAAAAGGATGTTATCTCAGATGCAGCACCTAAGAGCACAGAAAGAGACAGGGCTAAAGGGTTTTGTTGTTGTTTTTGCATAAAATCTTTCTGGAAAGTGATTTCTACCTCACTTGCTTTCTCACATTGTACTTGTATATATGTATACTGATAATACTGGTGGTTATATAGTCTAAGGAAACTTTAGATTATATGCATTAAAATAAAATTTAAAAGCAATCTTTAGGATCATTATCAACCCAGAGCAGCACGTACAACCTGCTACCTCTTTTTATCCAAAGAATGTCTGATTTTGGTAAAACAGATCCAAATCTTGGGCCTGTGGTTTATGTGAACTGGCTGTGCAGAGTTCACATGAATTAGCTCAGATGAATGCAGTACCAAGATCCCTCCTTGGAGCTGGAAGGGCTTGTGCAAACGGGGATCAAAACCTATGTTCACCTCACAGTAAACTCCCTTTGATGCCCCAGAATTTCAAAGTAGTCTGTGGAGGTTAACAGACTAATTTCAATAATACTGTTGTGAGAACATGAGATTTCATTACCAACCAATTTTACAGAGCTAATGAGACATTAAACATTGAAGGATTTGGTTAAGGTCACATAGAAAAGTATTGCCCCAAAAGTTCTGATTTTTGTTTTTATTTTTTTTTAAGTAAATTTGGATTTATTGAAATATTCACCAGGAAGCTCAGCCACGAAACAGATTAAAGGACTAAGCTTGGATGTATGTCTTCCTATGTGTTCCACAATGGATGCTTAGGTGCCTTCATTACCTATTACATTTTTATAATTTTTTATTTTTTAACCACTAAAAAGTTATACTTAAAAACTTTGTTGGTAAAGAGACTGCCCAGCAGCCATGCCACCTCTCTAGGCTTAACAGCTCCTCCTGAGGAGGAGGTAAGTATGTCTGCTTGGCTCCCTCCATGAGCATCTGTCATCACTAAATGCAGGACACTGATCTAAGAGAGAAGTGTGAGTTCTGTGAAAAGAGGTTTCGTACCACAAACATTACTTCTGGTACAATGCCTCCTCTGTCAGGAGTTTACAGAGCCAATCAGCAGACAATGTTTCCACTGACCAATTTCTTCAGCAAGACACAAAACAGCTCTTGTGCACAGTTACATGGCTTTAAATATGAGCAGCCAGACCTACTGTGTCCTCAGTGCTGGTGCTCCACCTGGGGGAAATCAGCCTCCGTGTCATCTGACAGGGGTGATCCTAATACCTGAGAAGAAAGAACCAAGCAGCAACAGTTCTCAGTCATTACAGAAGTCCCATTCCCCAGAATTCTCATCCTGCTGTTTAAATATGAGATGCTTAGAATTAACTATTCATAGCTCAAGTTTCTTTCACAGAAAAGGTAAAGTAAGAAGATATTATTATTTTACCTCTTAGTTTAGTCATATGTTAAAATATCCTTTTGCTCTGACATGGCCCACTTCACAACCCATCTCTGCTACTTACTACAATACCAAAACCTAAGGCTTCGAAGTAGCCATTATAACTATGCTACATGAAGTGAAGGAAAACACACCTGAAATGAATGAAAAGATAGGAATTCTGATCTATAAAAAGGAACCAAATAGATATCCTAGTCTACAGAAATACAATATCTGAAATAAAAAATCTAACTGGATGGTAATAATAGGATGGAGAAGTGAAATGTCAGCAAATATGAATCTAGGTCTATAGAAATAGGATAATATGAAGAATAGAAAGAAAAAAGATTACTAAAAAATAAGAGTCCCGGGAACTTGTGAGAAAAATATCAAAAGGTCTAACATATATGTTACTAGATTCTCAGGAGGAAAAGAAGAGATTATAGCAGAAAAAACATTTGAAGAAACAATGACCAAAAATTCCCCAGACTTGGTAAAAGATGTTTTTAGATTCGAGAAACCTGGTCAATCTCAAATAGGATAAATTCAAAATTTTATATACAAGCAACTGATAAAATAAATCTTGAAAGTTAAAGAAAAATGAAATGCTGCCTACAGGGGAACAATTCAAATGTCAGAATTTTGCAGAAAAAAAACCCAATAAAGATCAAAAGAAAGGAGTAAGTGCTGGGAGAAAAACATAACAAACACCAAGAACCTGCCGACCCAACTCCATATTCAGTGAAAATATATCTGGTGAATTTAGGCAAAATAAAGTAATTCTCTTTTTTGCTGCTGTTTCTGTTTTTGTTCTGTTATTGGTTTTGAGACAGGGTCTCACTATGTAGTTCAGGCAGGGCTTGACACGTGCAGTGATCCTCCTGCCTCAGCCTCCCAAGTGCTGGGAGTACAGGCATGCACCACCATGACCGGCCACAGTCATTCTTAAATGAAGGAAAACTGAGTCTGTCACCATCAGACTTGTAATGGAAGGCTAAAGGAAATTTAAAGCAAAAAGTAGAGTATAGCAGGCTTAAGCCTTCAGCATACATGAATGTAGTTAAGTACGACAGCTCTCTTATGACGTTCAGATTGGAGGAAAGGGAATATGATTGGAAAGTTTCTATGTTTTATATTAACTGGTATGATGTAGACTATAAAGGATTAGTTATATATATTATAATGCCTAGAACAATCTCTTAAAAAAATAATACAGAGATATCACCCAAAAACACCCCCACTAAAATAATAAAAAACAAAACAAGATCAGAAAGGAAAAACAAGGGAACAGACAAAAAATAAATAATAAAAAGATAATACCAGATCCACCATACTAGTAATCACGTTAAATATGAATGGTCTAGATAGTTTGGAGTCAGGTGGATTGTAAAGAAGCGTCCTTAAGACTGCTGGCCCTAGTGAGGTGACCACATTGACTCGTGCTACTCTGAAGGCCTTGTCCAGGGAGTCCATGTTACCACCAAGCTGACCTCTGGAGAGTTGTGGAGCCACCGCAGTGTGTGAGCTCTTCACAAGGGCAGAGTGAGCTGGAGAGATGCAAGGCATGACTAGATTCAGACAGACAATGTGAGCCACAAGCCCAGGAACGTGGGTAGCCTCAGAAGCAAGAACTACACCTAACTGCCAGCCAGCAAGGACACAGGACCTCAGCCCCACAGCCACAGGGTGCTCCATTTTGCTGCCACCCTGGACTAACCAGGGAACAGATCTTCAAAGCTTCCAGAACCACAGCCCTGACACCGCGACTCTAACCTTCAAGACCCATGCAGTGCGGTGCTGTGCCTTGCTTCTGACCCCAGGAATGGTGAGGTAATAAAGGAAAACTGCTTTCAGTCTGTAGTAACTGGTTAGCAGCAACAGATGACTAAGAATATATTCTGATTAAAGGGTGCAGATTGACACAATGAATACAAAGGAAAGGCCCTATTTATATGCTGCCTGTAAAAAACACATCAAAAACAAAAAATGATTCATGTATCATATAAACAAATAGGTCTCAGAAGGCTGGAATGGCTTTTCAACCTCAGGTAACATCAATGTCAAGGCAGAGAGAGAGAGCACAAGCAGAGACAGCAAGGCATTTCAGACTGACAAAAGGAACAGTGTTCAGAATACTTCTAAGTGTGCCTGCACCCAACAGGAGAGATTTAAAATGTATGAAGCAAAACTAAACAGATACAAGAGAAAAGTGGAAATTTCCACAAGCACAGTGAAAGATTTTCACAGTACTCTTTCAGAAAATGACAGACCTAAAATACAACACCATTCAGGGCATAGAAGAGCTCAATACTATCAGTCACTTTGATCTAATTTCACATTTTCAGAATAATTCATCCAACAACAGAAGAACAGATATCCTTTCAAGGAAGCAAGATTATTTGCCAGGGGATCAAGCCTATATGCTGTACCACAGAACATGTCTCAGTGGCTCAAGAAGAATCAAAATCATACAGAGTACTCTCTGATAGCAATAGCATTAAATTAGAAATCAACCAACAGTAAGGTATCCAGAGAAACCCCAAATGTCTGGCTACTAAACATTTCTAAATAATCCATGAATCAAAGAAGAGGCTACAAGGGGAATATGAACATGTTTAGAATTAGTGATAATGAATATACAATATAGCAAAATTATAAGATGAATCGAAAGCAGTTCTTAGGAGTAAAAATGTAGCTTTACATCCTTTACAAAAGAAAGATCTAAAATCAGTGACCAAGACATGAGTTCCCTTAAAAAGCTAGAAAAATAGTGCAGAACACACCAAAAGTAAGTAAAAAGGGAAAACTCAGAAAGAGAAATCAATAAAACAGAAAATCAGGGCTGGGGATTTAGCTCAGTGGTTCCGCCGTTGGTCCCAAGTTCGATCCCTGATACCAAAAAAACCCTAAAATAAAACAGAAAATTAACAGATAATAGAGGAAGTTGACAATGCCATCTCAATTTTGTTGGGAAAAAAAAACAACAAAATTTTCAATCTCCCTAGCTAGATTGATAAAGAAAAGAGATAATAAACACAAAAAATTAAGTAAAGTATAATCATAGCCTTTATGGGCATTAAAAGAACAAAAAGTGAATACCATAAACAACTTCAATCTACAAGTTAAAAACTTTGGGTGACATGATAAAAGTCTTTAAAAACACAATCTACCAAATGATACAGGAAAAACAGAATCTGAATAGCACTATACTGAAGAAACTGAAGTTGTCACCCATAGTTCTTTCCCGAAAAAACTCCTGGGATGATTAAAAATTCAAAATATAGAGCCCTGGGATTTAGCTGAGTGGTGCCGCCGCTTGCCTCATAAGCACAAGGTTCTGAGTTCGATCTCTGGTACCAAAAAACAAACAAACAAACAATTCCAAATATAAATAACAGCAACTTATGAAACTTTTTCAGGAAACAAAGGAAAAGAGATCACTGCTTGTGGTGGACTGATTAATGGTCAACTTGTAACTCCCAGCTGAACTGAATCAGCATGGTCTGGGCATGAAAGATCCACCTGAAGATTGTTACCAATAGCCATAAAAGAGAACTAGAAGGGAAGATCTTGGCTTGTTGATTTGCTAGAAGCTTGCTGCAGATGGTTTTCCTGATGCAAACTAGGATGTTCTCATTGGAGAAGAAGCTTGGGGCATCACTGTTGCTCAGAATGGCTGCTGTTTTCATCAGGGGAGCTCTGATCTTCACCATGAGCATCACTTCCTGGCTCCAATGTGGATCCCTCAGCTTGGTGGCAGAAATCCTTCATCTCACCATTGTAGAGAAATGGCTTCTACCACTGGCCTTTGGGCCTTCCAGGTACAGATCCTCAATACAGACAAGCATGAGACATTGCCATGGGCTCTAGGCCACTGGCTGGACTCGAGGAGGACATTGCCTTGGACTCTAGGCCTTCAGCTGGACTTGTGTGGGAAACTGCTGGGATCTAGGTCCTCAGTTGAATCCTTTGGGCTTCTAATGTGAGGTTAATTTCTTGCACTCCTTTGCATGACTCTTTGGGTAATTATCATAAAATAACCTCATAAGTTATGTGTCCTGTATTTAATGTATTCCCTCACCAAAACCTTCTGACTACAACACTGCTTAACTTGTTTAATGAAGTTAACAAAACCTTAATAATACAACGTGATGAAAACAACTTTTTTTTTTTAAAGGACATTATAGAAGCAGTAATAGGAGTTTGGATACATACAAAAGGATTGATAAATAAGTAAGTATATTAAACTATCCATTAGATAACTTGCAGCTAAATTTCCTACTATCAAAGAAGGAAATAAAAACTAGAAAAGCTCTGTAACAGTGGACTGGAATTAGATGTTTCTGTATAGATTTCAATAGCCTAGGCAGATACAGAAATCAATACGTACTAAACATGTGCATGTGGATAATGTATGTACCTTACTCTCCAGTGGAGCAGGCCTCAGAGTGACTTCCCCAAAAGCAATGAACACACCTGATCTTTTCTACTGAAGAAAACTAGGAACCTGGGAGAATGGCTGTTTCCAGGGCTGGGACAGGAAAGCACTGACTGCACCTGACAGAAGGAATGTCCAGAGAATGAGGGGACACAGTGAAAGGACACAGAAGACATCTGAAAGGGCAGCCCTCTGTGAAAGTAAGAATTCGGTTATCAAGGTAAATAAGGACTGAAAAATATGGAAACAATCCATTAAAAATGGGTAAAAGATTTGACCAGACTTTTCATCAAAGACACACAGGTTCTTCATGTGAAGAGATACACAGGGAAGGATACACACCCAGTAGAACAGCCAAGCTGACAATGCTGAGTGCTGATGAAGATCGCCTGATGTGCTCGTCACTGT